CTGCCGGAGCCCCGTCGGACAGCTGCTCCCCTCCCCAGTCCTGGCTCAAGACATGGCCTTCGGGGCCGGTCAAGTCTCGGTGGATCCGCCGGACGTGCTCACGCGGCTGTTTCCCCTAGAACTCCCGGCGAACAAAATACCAGCTTTCTGACCAGATGCTTTCTGTCAAGTCGTGAGACACGCAAAACTCGCAGATTTGGGGTCTGAAACGGTTTACCCGGTGACAACTAAAAAACTGTTCAGGGCCCCTTGACTATGAGCTACTTGGAGGGGGCGTGAGGCCGGAGGAGGAACCTGAGGACGTGGGGGCAGCGGGCCAGGGCGAGGCCTCCGGCGTGAGGGCTTCCACCTGCTCTCCTGACCGCCGGACAAGAGGATCAGCAGCGCTGAATAAAGGAAGCGACATATTACGAAATAGACATATAAAATTTAATCCCTTTGGTTCAAAGTACAATCAACTTCAAAAAACAATATAAAATATTGTGTGACCATACCCCACATCTCAGAAAACCAGAATTTAGTCCACCTACTTCATTCGAAGATTGTTCTCGAGGCACTAGTCAAGGAAGGGTCTAATCTAATCTAGTCTCTCTGATTTTTCTTCCTCTCTAGTTACACATGAATACGTCCTTTACAGCAGACCATGTACATAACATTGCAGTACTACAGCAGCAGATACTTGTGAACTGGTGAGTGCTTTCTAGAAACTGTTGCGCGCAAGCCTGAAGGCCTGAGCTCACAGAAATCGCTGCTTCCAGCAGAGGAGGTGCAGCCGGCGTGGCCACTGGCTCACCTGTGCCGGGCATGTGGCGCCACCACACTGCCCCTCGGTGCCCACTGCCGCCCTTTACCATCATCTGTCTCAATAGTGCAGAAATCCAAGTTGTCCTGTCAAGAGACCTCGACACCTGAGGAGGTTTTGCTATGCCAGGAGCCGCTGGGCTCGGGGAAACGGGGAACATCTCTCACCACCAAAAATAACTTAACCATCAGCCTAGGGAAAGTCTTCAAGTCATCCGCGTTGCGTATCTTCGCTATCTGTACAGACACCTGTATATATTATATATTCACATCGGACACCTATGTACACATTTACAGACCAGACTTCAACAGCGTATTGCACTTATATACAAGACAGCTAGCGCCACTGACGCCCATCGCCACCGGCGAGCTCTTCACAAGGAAGGCAGGTTTCAGGGACTCGGCCTGCCCAGCAAACACCTCCCAGCCTGCCCTGTCCCGCCTCTCCCGCTGGCCGCAGGGGTCAGCGCCGATTCAGGCCGCCACCCCCTGGGGTCCCGAAGCCCGCCTGCCGCCCCCAACGTGCTCGGCTGAACAGCACCGCCCGCCCCGAAGAGAAGGTAGAGATCCTGGACTCATAAATAAGGGGGCAGATACCCTAAAGGTTCCAAGTCTATCACACTGTGGCACAGTTTTCACTTCAATCCTAAGTATTTAGATCACAAAAGTCAAACATCGCCGCCCCTGGAAAACAATGACCCAACCCCTCAGGCCCCAGCTCCACCGTGGAGGCCCGGGCGCCCCGCAGAAGCGCTGGCTGGAGCCGCAGCCTGGCCAGCAGCGAGACGCCGCCCGCTCCCTGGCCCGGCGGGGCCTAGATCTCGGTGAGCGTGAGCTTGTAGGAGCCTCCCGCCTCTTCGATCTGCAGCTGGAAGGTGTCCTCGTTGGAGTAGTGTTTCACGATGTTGTCGTCCATGTTCACCAGGATCCTGGGGGCAGACAGACCGCTAACCCCACCGCCGCGGAGCCAGCCCGGCCTTCACTGGCTCTGGCGGCACGAGGCCGACCACGTCGCCCTCCCTAGGCCCCAGTTTCTTCGTCTGTGCCGTGGCGATCAGAGAAGGGCCTCCATGTCTGGGGGGGGGGGGGGGGGGGGGGGGGGGAGCGGCAAGCCCCCCGTAGCAGTGCAGGGCAGGTGAACAAGCCTCGCTGGCTCAGCACCTCATCAGGGTGTGGGGACCGGGCGGTGGCTGTTCCTACACACACAGTCACGGTCAGGCCAGAGGCCACCTCAGAGGAGGGTCAGTCAGACCGGTCCACCGGCCTAAAGCCGCAGCTCCCCAACAAGTCACCTTCCCTGCAGTGACCTCAAAGTCTTGCTGAATCGCTAAGTCCAGCCCTTCCCTCAAGGCCCATCTAGAACTTTCCAACTGGGTTTGCTTTAGAACAAAGCCAGGAAACGCTCACACTGTGCCCCGCTGGCCAGGCCAAACGGCACCAAAGCCCTGACGTCTGAGCAGGCGCAGGGCCTGAGACGCGGCCCGGGTGCAGGGAAGAGGCTCGGCAGCAGGCTGAGGCCGCACCTCACGCATGGACGCGCCGACCCGCTGCCTGACCGCGGCAGCCCTCGGGCCCGTCCGCAGCGGCCTCATCCATGAGCCCGGACAGCAGCCCCGCCTCAAGGGCAATGTGGAATTTACACGAGGGGCCGGAGCACCCTGAGCAACGAGGGCAAAGCAGGGCAGCCAGGCCAGCGTCCACCTCAGGGGTGGGGCAGGAGGAGCTGGTGACCACTCAGTGCTCCCGAGTGGGAAGGGCGAGCGAGAACTTCCCTTGAAAAACAGCCACAAAGCTGTCTTAATAAAGAGGTGGGCTAGTCGACGTGGCGGCGTGGGAAGGCCTCACGGCCCGCTCTGTCGCTGGGCCGGGCACACACGTGCGCGACTCACGCCAGGCCCTGGGCTGCGCCCACCGGGAGCCGGAGGGACGGCAATGCTCACCCTTTTTTGCATTTCTTGAATATCTTCCCGATCTTGTCGTGGGGGACATCGTACTTGTCCGAGATCTGAGGAGCAAAGACAAGAATTCATAAGGCTGCTCTGTGGCCTTAACAAAGGCCTGCACGGCCGGGAGCCCACAGCAGAGCCCACCGCGGAGTCGCCCGCGGCTCAGAGCCACAGGGACCGCTCACGGGGCCGCGGGGGGCGGGGGCCCTGCCCGGAGGGCTGGGGCTGGTCCTCACGCTCCCTCCCCGCTCACAGTAAGCGGCTTGCGCTGCTCTGACTTGCGTTCAGAGAGAAGCTGTAGGTCTGCGGGAACGCGGAGAGGGCCGGGCGCGCCCCGCACTTCTGTGGGTGTGGGAGCTCACCCCAGGTGCAGACCGAGGCCCATGGGGACGGCAGGGCTCACGCGGAGCCGGACAGCCACCCAGCGACGTGCACGCCAGGGAGGGCGCGAGGCCTGGCGTGGGCGTCACAGGCGCTGCCGTGGGGCTCCCGGCCCCGTGCGCGCAGGCGGCCTCAGCACCGTGGCGGGGCGTAGGGCGAGCCGGCTCGGCCAGGCGGCGCTCAGAGTCCCACGTGGGGGGAGGGGCGGGGCGTGGGGAGGCGGGCGCAGGGCTCAGGGTTAGGTGCGTTGCACCCTGGGGCAAAGCTAAGGGGAGGCGAGCAGCCCGTCCCTTGCGGTCTCACGGTGTCCCCAGAGGCGCACTGGGCCCGTCAGCCCTGTGGAGAGACCCTGCAGAAGGGACTTGCGGTCACCACTGGTCACTCATGTTCAGTGGTTCCACGGTACGTGGCCCTCAGAGACCAAAGTGGCCGCCATCTGCGCTTCGAGGATCCTCCTTGACCAGCGAAGGCTCCGCGCGGCTCCGAGGGGCCTGCTCACCGGCACCCTGCCCTGGGCCGAGGGCGCAGAGGCTACGCCACTGCCCGGCCATCACAAATCACCCGCTCTGGAGGACGGGCCACCGCCCACGCGGGGCGGGGGGGCGAGCGAGGGCCCAGTGGGAGGCGGGCGGCCCCCGCCCCGCCCACCGACTGGGCCCGGAGGCGCCGCCTCTACTTACAGCCTCCATCAGGCCCTTCAGCGACGGGGTCTTCAGCATCAGGGCGTCGAAGACCTCCTCTGACTCCTTCCGCACGTAAAGCAGCACTGACCCCAGCGGGAAGGGGAGAAAAAGAGAGCGGGAGCCGGTCACCCGGACGAGCAAGTGACAGAGGACCACGGTCAAAACAGAAACGCCGCCCGGGGCCTCGGGCCGCCCCAGGAGCCAGGCAGGGCCAGGCTTGCACAAAGCTCTCGCGCTCACGTCCACCCCGCCCGGGGCCGGAGGCCAGCGCACCTCTCTTGGGCTGCTCCACCCGGGGCAGCTTGGCCGGCGGTGGTGCGACAAGGTCGTCTTCCGGCCCGAACGGCCCCCTTTTCAGGCTGGACCTGCCGGCGCAAAGTGCGCAGTTAGTGGCCGGCTCACGTCACTGGGTATGCGGCTAACTCCGTGGGCCCCGGGCTGGAAGTGGCCGTCACCCTCCGTCTGGCCCAGTCTCCTGGGCTCGCGCACGAGGCTCGGGCCTGCGGAGACCCTGGCCGGCCCCAGGCTGGAGCGGAGCTGCGTCCCGTCCCGGGAAAAGCCCCACAGAGGCGGCGGCGTCGTGACGTCAAGGAGGAGCGTGTCCGAGGAGGACGTGGGGAAGGCCACGCTGGCTTCCGGGGAAGACGAACCTCGGGCAGGTCGGGCCCAACGTGGCCTCTTGCCCAACAGGCCTGGGAGCCCGGGGCCCTGGGGACGCTACGTGAGCACAGGAAGCTGCGAGGCCGTGACCTCGGAGTGTGCGGGGCCTCAGGCGCTCCGGGCCAGAAGCCCGCTGGGGCTCCTTGAGGACAGAACACAGAAACAAATGGGGAAAAGGCCTTTGAAGAAAGAAGTGACAAGAGGTGGGGGCTGGCTGCCACGGGGCAGCTACAGGGTGCTCAGCCCAGTGAGGTCAGGGGCCGGGAAGGAAGAGGGGGGGCCTGGCTTTGAGGCGAGTGCGCAGTGGAGAAGGCGGCCTCGGCCTCGGCCCGCAGGAGAGCAGCTGTGGGTTGGTGTCTGAAAATACAGTGTGGTGACGAGCCCGGGGCCACCCAGTGGGAGGGGACAGGCCTGGGGCGCAGGGCACTGGGCGGGGCCCACAGCACCAGCCGAGGGAGTGCCCGGTCTGGGCCGGGCCGGGCTCCTGAGACCCATTCTCCCCCGCAAGACGCTGATTCTAGGGCCGGAGAAGGGGCAGCACAAGAGCCCAGAACTCAAGCTGCAGAAGCGAGAGGCACCCCAGGAACGGGGCTGGGGCGGTCAATGACGCGAGAGCAAGCCTGGAGGCTCCCCTGACCGCTGGGGACACCCTGAGCCACGCAGAGGGCAGAGACAGCCTCGCGAACAGAACCGAGGCCGAGTCCGTGCTGACAGTGAGCAAACCCAAGGTGGGAGATGGACAGGCGGGAGCAGCGACACTCGCTGCCGACAGCGCTGCTCAGGGGCGCCGCGGGCCCACCTCAGCCAGGGCTGGGGCGAGGGCGGGCAGCGGCGGGCGGGCTCAGACACACCCACGGGTCCTGCCACGTCCCCATGACGGGGCCCCGGCTCGTCCCGCAGACCTGCTGCGGTCCCCACACAGCCCGGCCTTCAGACGCGCCAGGCCAGGAAGCCGGACACTCACGGCCCCCGACTCAGGAAGGGCAGACGGCACCGCCTGCGTCTCAGGGCCCTTCCGGGGGGACAGGGGAGAAGCCGAGGGGGGCCGGGCCTGGTGCCGGCGTCCAGGCCACATGCTGACCGCGACCTGCTTGTAGGAAATACACACGAAGGGGCCCTGGGCTGGACACCCCTCAAACAGCTGAGGGGAAAGAGCATCCCCCGGCCACCTGCAATCGTTCTGTAAGTTTAACTGTTTCACACCGGAAAGGATTTATTAAGACCAAGCAAAATGTCCATCTTACCCTTCACCCTCCAGTTCTTCAGCAGCAATGGGGAGGACCTGAGACAGACAGGGAAAAACAAAATTGCCTTTCAAGGACACTCTGGGGACACCCAGGCCCGAGGCACTCCTGAGGGGAATGCGACCCGCCCAAGCTGGACACACCCTCTGCCCTCTCTCAATAACCAGGTTTTCAGCCACACCAGGACCCCAGTCCCGTGTCCAGACCAGGCCGGCTCGCAGGTGGGGGCTCGCCAGCAGGCCCACTCCCGGCAGCACCAGGGCCCCGCTGGCCACGCGCTGAGCCCCCCGCCCTGCAGCTCCTCCTTCCAGTCCCAACACTCGGCAGGCTCCGAGGCCTCTGCGCACCCCCTGCCCCCCCCATCCGGACCCGCCCAGCTTGTGGTGATGCTGGGGACGCCTGGCCGCGCACCTCCGCCCCCTCCCTCCCGGTCTGGCCCTCAGAGGCAGAGTCTCGAGATCAGACTCAGGCTCACGCCTGTACTGTTCTGGCACCTTCTCAGATCAGCGTGAACACCGGAGGCCAGAACTGAGCCGACGGCCTGGACATGCCTGCGCTTCCCACTGGCAGCGCTGGACACACCTGGCCGCCCAGGCCTCCCGTCAGCCCGGCTGGAGATTCCGGGGGGCTGACTGGGCCCCTCAGCTTTGCTTTTGTTCACCAGGAACCAGGCCGAGGACTCGTGGTGGAGTCTGGCCCGCAGCCCTGCCCGGCCCGGCCCGGCCCTGCACCTACGTGGGTGCCCCGCTGCAGGTTGGCGAAGTGCACGTCGGGGATGAAGAGGACGGGCTGGGTGTCCAGGTCAATAAAGGGCTTGAAAACCGTGATGTCCATGCGCTTATGAGAGGGCAGCAGCGGCACTTTCACGTCGGAAACTGAGAAAGAGCAGGGCCGTGAGTGCCCCGCGCCCGCCACGTGCGGGCGGCCGAGCCCGGAGGTCTGCGGCGAGGCGCTGGGTGACTGCGAGCGCCCAAGTCAGCTGAGCGCTTTTCAAACCGGAAGGGAAACGGGCCTTAGGGCAGACAGACACGGCTTCTAGGAGGATCGCCCCAGGGCTCCCCTCCCGAGGCCACCCCACTGCGGGCTCACAGGTGACTCCCCGGCTGACGCAGCCCAGCTTCTGAGCCTGGGGGCTGCCGGCTCCCCCCCGCCCCCTCAACCCCCGGGACCTGATGAGGAGTTGCCCCAGGGGCACGGGGCCTGTGCTCTGCTGTAGGGGGCTGGGGGCAAGCCCCGAGGAGGGGGCCTCGGGGGACCCACAGCCCCGGCACTGCAGGAAGCATCGTGGCCAGCACCTGGCGGCTAAAGGTCAGGACTGCCTGCGACTCCCGGGCAGAGTCACGCTGAACACACCCAAGCCTCTCGAGATAGAGCTTTTCTCTTTAGAGAAAGCTAAAAATTTTCATTTTTATAAAATATTATCATCCGCTGTTCAGGTGGAGGGTGCGAGTTTTCAGGACTGGACCAGCGGGCTGAGTAAGAACCAACTGTCCGGCGGGCCTGGACGCTGTAGCAACTCGAGAATGATCTGTGGAGCTCCCCAAGGGGGCGCGGAGTCACTCCCGCGACTACAGCCGCACCGGAGGCCACCACCCGTCCAGGCACCCAAAACAGCCCAGGCTGGCCGACTGAGGCGACGCCACCACCGGAGAGGCCGCGGCCAGAGCTGGGGGCAGTGCACTTGCCTTTTCTCTTGCTCTGTTTTCTCTCTTCGTCCCTGATCTTCCGCTCAGCTCCCTGCAGGTCAAGGGGAGACAAGACTGCTTACTGCGGGGCCTCCGGTGGGGCTCCTTACTCTCTGTACCCCGGAGCTTCTCGTAGCTGCCCCTCGGGGGTTCCCGCAGAACTGTGGATGCTAAATGAGAAGCTGAGAACATCTGCTGGTGCCCTCACGGCCTCCAAGACGCAAGGGGCTCCTGTGGAAAGGGGCCACGGAAAGGGACCCCGGTCTGAGCGAGAAAGTCGGGGCTCTGTCCCAGGATGTGGTGTCAACTACGGGGCAGCTGTGCCAGCGCCGACTCGCACAAGCAACCGTTTGGCCGAAACGTGCAGCACCCGTAACGGAGCCGGCCAGCCCGGGGAGCGGGGACGTGGGTGCCCCGCACGCCCGGCCGGCCAAGGTGGATGAGCAGGCGAGTCGACTCAGCGTGACCGATCCCGGGGTCTGACACGTGCGGGCTCGCACCTTCTCGCCGCGTCGCCCCGCTGAGGAGAGGCAGCGGCTTCTTTTTCTGAAAACCCAAGGTGGCACCATCAAGCCAGCGTGAGAAGCAGAAAATGAAGCTTCTGCCCCTTCCAGAGGTGTCACGAACACACCAGTGAACACAAACCTGCTGGCAAAAACTGCTGGGTCACCGCCCTGGCCCGCAAGCACAGGCGGGTCCCCACTTCCCTCGTCATCACCGTGCCCAGCCGTCTGGGCCCCGCGGCCCTCAGTCTAACAGCGTCGTCGCCCGACTGACATTCTAGACGCCCCCGAGGTAGCTGGACAAAATGGGACACGTGCCTCCTTGGCTACGTCCATAAAGAACACCGAGGAGGCCATCAGGACAGCGAAAAGGTAACTCCGAGCGAGGTGTCTGCAGGTCACCCAGGCGCTGGGCGGCCCAAAGACCGGCCCGAGAGCAACGGACCGTGCTGAGAAGCGGGCGGGGCTCTGCCTGTCCCAGAAGACACACAGGCGGCCTCGGCAAGGTCGCCAAGCATCTGGTCAAGGCCGGACTAGAACGGCTGTTCTCAAGAAAATCAAAGAAACGAGAGTCGATGGGGGAGCGGCGAAAGGCAGCCGCCGGGCGCCCTGGCGGGGTGGGAGGCGGCCGCGGCCGAGGGAGCGGAGGCTCTCCAGTGACCCACGGCAGAGACAGCCGCAGCCTGCTGCAGACACTGACCCGAAGTAAACAGAACGCTGACTCCAAAGCTCACCTACGTCCCCGCGTTCACGACAGTGTGACGGCGCGGGGATCAAGGCAGGGAAGCAGCCTAGGCGCCCACGGGTGCCGCACCAGGAGGCTGCGCACGCAGGGAGCGTTACTCAGTCGTCTGCAGCGAGTCAAATCCTGCCATTTCGGGAACACAGACGGCCCCGGGGGCATCACGCGGAGCGAGCGAAGCACAGCGGCATGACCACACTGACGTGGAGTGAAAGAAAACCCACACAAACTCCAAAGTCAAAAAACCTAGCTCTCTGCGATCGGAACTCACCGGCGGTCAGCTGAGGTGAGAGTGGAGAGGGTGGGGGTGTTGAAATAGGAAACGGGGTTCCAAAAGCACCAACCGCAGCTGCAGGCGTGGGGCCACCGCGGCGGCACAGCCCCGAGCGTCCGGGACTCGCGGAGGGAGCACACCTACAAGTTTTCATCCAAAGAACAAAACAAGGTGGCCAACGGTGACGGCTGCTAACTACACCACGGGCCACGGCACGCGCCACAACACGCACAAACAGGGGTCGCATGTCACGGCTGCAAGCCACGGCGTTCACGGCTTTAAAAGGTGGTAACGGACCTGGCGTCCACTCAGGATGAGGCGACAGGGACCAGATTTCACCACGTGCTCCAGGCAGGTACCGGGGACGGGGTTTCTCCGGCCCACAGGCAGCCACGGGCCGTGACCTCGGAGCGGCGATGGAGCCAGCTGAGCCCGGAGTGCCCGCCGCCTTCCCCAGTGTCCAGGCTGGGCCCGGGCAGCAGGGTACCTGGGGGTCTCCCTGCTCTAGGGTCCAGCGCTGCACGGCCAGAGGGCTGAGCAGCAAAGGGGCTAAGAGACAGGAACCCAGAACCCCAGGGCCTCCCCAATACTGGCGCCGAGAGGTACATGCTACGAGGAAGTGGCCGGAGGGAAGGGAGAAACACCTGGACAAGAGCCTGGGGCTGGGCTGGGCAGCACCGTGTGGTCACCCCATGCACCAGGTTCAAGACGCGCCCGACACCAGCTGCTCGCACGCCCGCTGTGAGCTGAGGGGCCCGGGGTAGAAGCACGGCCAGGGTGCAGCCTTGCCCCCGACTGTCAGGCCGCCCCAGAGTGCCTGCACCCCCCTTTCCATCTCTCTGACTCCAGGCGACGGTCTCCTTCCCCGGGTCACGCGCCAGGTGCCTCCCGCGGGCTTTCAGCAACATTCTGGGCGCCGCACTGCTGCCGACCCGGCCTCGGCGACGGGGGAGCCCGGCCCTCTCCAGCCTCCCTCGGCGCCGCCCGCCCGCCCGCCGCGGTCACCTTGTCGCAGAAGACTTTGATCTGGCAGAAGGCGCGGTGCACGGGCTTGTTGCTGCGGTTGTTGTAGCTGTAGGTGTCGATCTGGATGTTGAGCGGCAGCCCCTTGACGCCCTTCTGGGACGAGAAGTCTGTGCTCAGGCAGTTCACGGAGATGAAGACCTGCGGGCAGGACAGGCTTGAGCGGGGCGGTCACCCAGCGGGCCCAGCGCGAGGCCCGCGCAGCGCAGGGCTTCGTGCCCGAAGAAGCCTTTTGGGAGAGCCGTCGAGAGAGTTTCCAAGGCACAGGGCGGCGCTTCACGGGGCGGCGGGCGGCAGGCTGGCCCGGCCCTCCAGAGGCTCCCGCCCGGCAGCGCCCACGGGGCCGTCTGTGAAAGGACACTCGGGCCTCTGCCTGCGCTTCCGCCCGTGGCCCCCCACACCCCAACGCCCCGGGAATGATGGCATCGCAGGCCACCTCGCAAAGTGCCGGGGCTGCCACGGGCTTCGCGGCCCCCACAGGGCGGCCAGCGCGGCTCCTCCCGGTGCGTGAGCCCCAGTGTGCGCTGCCGAAGCTGCGGCTCCCAAGTGAGGCTGGCGCCTAGCAAAGGGCACCTGGTGCTGGCCTCCCCCTCCCTGTGGCCCCAGCCCCCCAGCCCCCAAAACAGATGAGCCGCAGAGCATGCGGGGCGCGCGTGGGGCGCGGGCCGGGCCAAGTCCCAGAGAAGGACGAGTGTGGCCTGGAAGGGGAGACCTACAGACAGGGCGTGGGACACGGGTCCGAGAAACTGCACACGGGACACAGGGCCCTCCCAGAAGGCGGGCCGCGGACGCCTCATCCTCCTTCAGTGTCCACACTGCTCCCAGAAGGGCAAGGCCGAAGCACCCGGGACGACGGGGAACCTGCCCCAGCCAGGCTGGCCCAGCTCTCCGGCCGCCGCCTGCGCTTCCCTCCTGTCCGGCCCCCCGCAGAGTGCCTCCTGCCTGTCCACACCAACTCGGGGACCCTCCCGACAGCCCCTGCTCCCACACTTGGGCGGGGCCGAGGGCAGACACCGGGCACCAGCCCCGATGTGAGACACCCTTCGCACCGGGACC